ATGTGAGTGTAGTTGCCATTTGAATTTGAAAGATATAGAACAACATAGCTATCCAGAGTTCCCTATCTAGGCTAGGGAGCAGGAGCATTCACTTGTTGGAATTTAAGTGCAAAATCTTAGATATCTGTGTAGATAACACTGAGGAACTGATGGTCTGAGTCTCAAGATAGAGGCTTTTTATTGTTTGCGGTTTTTTGCCTTTTTTTTTTTTTTCCTATTCTTTGAAGAATTTGAGTAGTAAATAGTAATCTAGTTTTGTATGAAAAAAATTAATTCTTTTCTGTTTAGGACTCTGCAATAGAGACATCTGTGTATATGCTATATGGTTTATAAAATGTTTTGACCAAGTTCATGCTACTGCACTTTGAAATTTTTACAAAGAATGGAACTTTTAAGCCCTTGTTCAACTTTCTCTAGCCTATGTCTTGTAATTTGAAAGTCAATTAAAGAATAAGTGATAGGCATGTCTTTAAAAAAATCATAGGTAGGGAATGTGTTGGATATGAATTAGCAGATGCAGTTTCCTTATATCTTTGAATGTTATTGTATTAAAATTTGCTTCAACGTAGCATTTAGAAGTAGCTTAGAACTAGTGTTCTGAAATCTGTCAATGTGAAAAAGATTCTAAAAAAGATGTGCATGACTCTAAAGTTTGTCCACTTTGAATATAAAAACTATTTTAATCTTTTTATTAAACTAGGTGGTAATATGATCACGCTTTATATAGGACTGTCTCAAAAAAAAACAAAACCAAAACACTACCACCCTCCTAAATGTAGAGTTGTTCTGTAGTTTGGCTTTGCCAACCTGATATTTCCAAGTTGTGTTCTGTTCTAGAACCGACAAACAAGACTCAGTTTTAGTTGTTGTTTTTTTTTTTGTACAAGGCCTTTTCTTAATATCAGTTTATTAGAATTACCAATCTGAGTTCAAAATCAGAATTTTTCCACTGTGATCTCTCTAGATTGTATGTTGACAGCTTACATATTTTGATCAGTTCAACATCCATAGTGTGAAATTCATAGTCCTTCATCTATCTGTCTTAAAATGCTTCTTGACTAAAGTTAAATATAGCCTTTTTAGGTGTTATCATTAGTTGGATTAAGAATTAATTATAATAGCAAAATTTTTGATACCATCATCTGTACTGAGAGTTCATTTATGGCTGTAAAAAGAACAGCAGCCTTATTTTTGAACAGTTGATTAGGTTGTTCATTAATTAGTATTAACTTTTTTCCAACTGAAACCTTGGTCTCAGATAGAACTGCACAACTGAAACCTTCATCTCAGGTAGAACTGCAGTTTTTAAACTGGTCCATGAGAGTTTGATGATACTGCTTTTTTACTTTTTGCAAATTTAATTTGCAAACTTGCAAATTAATTGTCTAATAAGACAGATCTCAGTGCAGTGGAGAGCTGTGCAGGCATTAACTCTACAGACTCCAGAAACTGCATCAGTGAGGGGTTTCGATTGAGCTGTTTGGACTCAGTCTCCATAAGCTGGAGCATGGTGCAACGTTACTTTAATTCTTCACACTGTGTAGGAAATAGTTCTGACTGCTGTTTATCCAGACAACATCTTTAGCATGCATGCAGTCAGTAGCAAGGGGTATCCTTCTATTTCTTTCATACATGGATAGGCTACTTGGAGTTAGTTCCCTTCTCTTATTTTGGTGGGAGCTGCAGAGACAGGAATTAAGCAGGGAGTTGTTGACATGCTAGAAGTACAGTGTTGTGATGTTTTTGTATCTATCCCCAAAGCAAACAATATAAAGTAGATGGAGTTGGATGTGACTGTACAGCAAAAGAGGTACAGTTTTGGGAGGGCACTTGTGGTGGAAAAGAAGTTCAAGAAGCAAAAAGAAAGCAAGCATGTTTGAACTGAGTAAAGATAAAGATACAGGGATTTCTAGAATAAAATGGAAAGCCGAATTAGAAAAAGGAGAACAAAGAAAACTCGGAAAAGAATAAGGGAAAAGGAGAAAATGTGTTCCTTAATTCTCTTTTTGTATTATCCTTCGAATCGATCTCAAAGTTAGGGAAGGACTGGCTTTCAACTTATCTGTTACGTTGCTGATAGTAGATTTTGGATCTTTTTGATGTTTTGGGGAACAAAAAGAGAAGCGTTTCTTGATGTCCATATCTGTTACTGTCATTAAAGAAGAAAACTGACACAAACATTAATACTGATTATTATTATGAATAGAACTTTATACTATTTGTGCTACTTTAAACTTGATTAATTGTGCTCAAAATAAAGATCTGTTTAGTGTTCGGTAAATCATATTTTGGGAATTAATAGCCTAAGAAAGTCCCTGTGATGTCTCTTATTTAGCTTATTAAAATACGTGATTTCAATTTGTGGGTTTTTTTTCAGGTTATTTTTATGAATGCATACTAGTGCCAGTCAGAATGCAATGGTTCTTAATGCCAATTTATCTCTGCAGAAACATCTGTGCTACTATAATTAATATTATTTTAATACTTCCATTTAAAACCTTTATAGCTTACTGCAAGTATTGCTGCTTATAACGTAATGAGAAAGAAGTGAAGCATTCATCATGAGAGATAATATTTTAACCAAATTAGTATGTTAAACTACTAGAAAAAGAAATAATGGAAATATTTAGTTAAGATTTGGTCATTCCTAGTGCATGCATGTGTAAGTGTTTTTTGCTTCAGTGCACATGTCAGTGTATGTTTGTGGGTAGACTTTGCCTCAGTAACAAGAGGGTGGCTTCATCCACTATACTCATTTTAGCCTTTTCTGCTTTCCAATACATCAGAATTGTCTGGAGATTTTTTTTCTGGCCTCTATTAATGTTCTGGAACAATGAAAATCCAGATTTAATTTCTTAGTGGCTACAACAGTACAATTGTATTACTTTAAAGTGAGGCATTAATTTTGTCTCATCTTTGGTCTTGCTAGGTCAACTGTTGCTTAAAATTTTGATGTAAACACCAATATATTTATTCACAAATGGTTTTCTATGCATGGATCCTTTGTGGGGTTTGGAAAGGATGTCCCAGATCAGTATAAGAGCTCTGAGATTTACATGTATTTTCTTCTGTTTAGTATGCACATATCACTTTAATTGGAGGTGTCCCTGTAGTTTGGAGGAAGCAGATCTTATGTCTACAGCATCACTGTCAGAAATACACTTAGATTTTTCTTTTGAAAAATTAGCTGTTGGGGAAGGTTGCTTTGATTTCATTTTCATGAACGTAAAGTCAAGCCAATTGTGTTTAAAACAAAACAAAAATTCCACAGAAAGATTTTGCTCTTTGAAGCACAAGTTCAATGTTCACCACACTTCAGCTTTAAAAATAGTTTTGATTTAAATAGTAAATTCATTAAACAGTTGCTTGCTAATCATGAATATTTCTAGTGTAATCAGTGAGATTTGATATGGTTATTGAAAATAAAAATATCTTTAAAAGTACTGGAAAATTATTCAAATCCAAACTATAAATCCAAACCATTTTGATAATCTGGGATCTTGTTGAGGTACTAGTTATTGCAGAGATTTGTTATGGTACTAACTTGTTCAGAGAATGTTTTTGAGAGTAACCTGGCTTCTGAAAAATTAAGGAACTGCTCTTAGAAGAGAAACACAGGAATTTATATAGTATGTTATAGGATCAGAGGCTTCTCCTTATTAGTGGCTATGTAGTGACTTTTTCCCTTGCATGATGAATGTGAGAGTATGTTTTCATATTTTATAAATGTATGAATATTGGGAAAGTATGTTTAAGTTATAGTAGGAAAGTAGAAAAGGTTTAACAGTTAATTTCCTACCCTAAGTGTTAACATTTTTAAATTACGTGGAGTCAAACCTCATTAGGGATTACATAAGGAAGCAGTTAATCTACACATCCTTCATTGCAAGCACCTACATTTTTAGAGTTTTGTTGTGTGGTGAAATAGTATGAAAATATACATAAGGCACTGTGTTTAAAAATAGCATCATGTTATTTCATTAACAGCTGCATGTACCTGTTTTGCACCCACTTTTATCCATCAAGAAAAGATACTTTCAAATACTGCTGGGGAGATCAAACTGACAAAACGCTATCTCAGGTGACAAAAGAAACCAGACAAGTGGCCATTCTCTTTAATTAAGCTGACTTGGCAGAGGTGCAGATTATTTTATATTACAGCAGAATTGCCTCTGAGACACAATATCACATATTCTGTAAAGTTGGCCATAGAAAAAAATGGCATAACATTTGTTGCTGACTTTGTTTTCTTCTGTCAAGTGGTAATGAAAATTTTAATGGTATAAAGGTGAAGTCAATAATTAGATATGTATTTTTCAGACTAATTGTTTACACAGTCTTGTTTCTGGCTTACAAACTGCATTTGATCTGGGAAACAGTTTATCCGTACTAATTAAATACATGCAACTTAGTAAGTCTCAAATCCATAAATGATGTCATTGACTTTGTGTTTAAAATTGCATTCTTATCTTACTCTCAGCACATGCGAAGAAGTCATGTTCAGAATTTCTGAGGTCCATCAATGGTCAGAAAAAAGGATAAAAGCAAGGGAGATGAGCTGTGATCTTTACAATTGGACAAGAAATGGCATGCAACTTTTCTTCATTATATTATAGAAAGAATTGTCAATCTTTGCTATTGCTTAAAACTATTAATCTTTTTAAACATCCCTTTAAAAAGCTTTTTAGTCATTTCCTGGTTTTGTTTGGTAGAATTTTTAACCCAAAATGTCCTTCCTAGTTAAAATGATCTGGCCTGTATTCACTGTTTGGGTGCTTAGAATTCGGAGGGTTGTCTTTTTATGTGTCGTGCCAAGTTGTCATGCTGTGTCACAATGCTGGGTGTTGTTATTAGAGACACAGGACATGACACCTTGTGCTTTTAATGTTGGTGTTGTGTAAAAATGGCCTTTGAGGGCTGAGGGTGCGGCCAGCGTGCGTCACACGGGGGATGTCCCGCTGTGTGCGTTGTGCGTGAGGGCCACAGCTGCTCCCGTGGACATGGATTGTCTTGTTTATAGGAACACTCTAAATCTTATTCCAGGTTTTGACTCAGATGAAGAATTTGGGCCGTTCTGTCATCACACGCCGTTTCTAGGTGATGATCTGGGACTGATGACTTTTGCCTTTTGTAAACTTTCTTTAATGTTTCCTATGTTTGCACGTTTGCATGATAATGCAAGCTTCTGGCCTGTGGGGTGGTAGAGCAAGGGGCGAGAGGACAAGGCAGGCATGTTGTCACCAGAATTCATAGAAGCCTACAGCCATGGATTATGTTTGACAGAAATAAGTTAAATCGATCTCCACAGCATATGGATTCTATTTTTTTTTTTTTTTTTTTTAAAGAAGACAAATTAAATCCTAATGAATGCATCATTTACTCCTGTTCTGTGCAATGATGATCTGCATGGCAAACTTCTATTATGTGGTGACTGACGTATTTTGGCAACCACACTGTATATCCATAGGTAATTACATCTGTGCTTGTGTAGATTATGTTCTAGTGGAATCCAATGTACAAAATAGCACAGCTTTGTAATATAGAGATACAATGAAAGCTCAATTGATAAAAATAGCGTGAATTTGTTTTTCAAGTATGCAGATTACCGTTTGGTTCTGCAAATACTTGAGATGATAAAACAATGAAATGAACAGTGCAGATTCCTCAGGAATCTGATGGCTTTAAGTCCATGGAAAATGAAAACCTTTTCACTGAACTATTATTGTCATTGGTTGTGGCCCTGAATTCTCAAATGGTTTTCTGCATCAAGACCTATTTACTGCTCATATCAGCATTAACTAGTCCAAACAAATCTGTCTTACTCTGATGATAGACACAAAAAATTGCTTTGGGGTTGCCTTTGGATGCAGATGTGGGGAAGCCAACTAGTTGGAATATACTTTACATCTGCCGGTTAACTTCAAAGCTGTGATGTAGAAACCTACATCCATTTCTCTAACTGAACCAGGGTAATGGCTGGAACACAGCCTTTCATGTCCAGCTTTAGATGTATCCTTATGTTACTTTTTTACAGATCAGAGAGTAGCATCTTTTTGCACCTTGAATGATATACAACAAGCTCAGAGCTTGGAAGGAGGACAAGAGTTACCTTTGGATGAGAGTCCCACAGATGGAAAAGATTTCCTTGAGGCTACTGGGTATGTCAGAATTAAAGTGTATTTATTACAAAAAGATTTTAAGAATATACTTTCTCGCAATGTTGCATGTCAGATGGCCTGTATGCATGTTTCACTGCTGTTTGAGGGCAGACTTGTTGCCGTGGCTGCTCGTGTCTTTAATTCCGAAAAATGGTGTTTCTTCGCTTTTATCATTCTGTGCTACAACAACCTGTGAGCAGTTCTGTCTAGAAAATGTGTAGTATAGTCAAATAAAGCTCTCTCACTAGAACAGGCCTCTAATGAGGAATACAGGTAGATGCAGAGTTTCAGCTAGTGACATTTTTCACTGTATTCCCACTAAATAGTAATAAGTTGTGTGATCCTTATTTCTGTTTTCGTTTGAATGGGACAGATAACAGGAGCTCAACTCTATAAGTATGCAATAACCTTATCTGCAGCAAATGTCTCAGACCTTGGAACAGTTGTTCCTACCAATCTTTTGCAACTATTTGCTGCTTGCAAATCCATAATTTTTCATTTATAGGTAAATTAATCAAGAGAACCTTTAACTGAGGACTGCAGTAAACTTTTATGCCAAACTGCTCAATTTCTCAAATTCTTCCCAAAGTTCTGAGAGATTATCCCTTTTTTCTTTTTCCCCCTGTCATCCCTGCTGTGAGGCATATACTTGTTAAAAACACAGATTCAGCAGTATAATCTGTCCACTAGCATGCTTCAAAAGAAATACACATCTTTGATTAGTTTTGCTCTTCAGCTACAGGAATGGAAGAACAGGAAATAGAGGAAAAAGTCTTCTTGCTTGTTAGACTATCACATTTTAATTTGAACCAATTTTACACAAATTAACTTACTTACATGGTAAAGCGCATTTACTGTAATGACTTCTAAGTCCACATCTTTCCCCGGCCTGGTGATCAGTAAGGATTGCAAAAGTCTGTTAAAGTTGTTCCACTTTCAGCATCAGCAAATTGGTCAGATTTGTGCACTTGCATGGAGCAGCTGATTCAGCTTTGTATGTAAAGCTTCTCTCTTCAGCATGTCTCTTCTAGACAAAATGATTCAAGTTATAGATAATTTCACCCGTAATGTATATGAAATTGTCTTCCATAGTGCTTATTGTCATGGAGGGAAACGGAAGCTATTCTCAGTACCTTCCCTCAGCCAGGCATCTGATTAACCCATGGCAATGTTTCCTTTGTTTTGACCTTTAAACAGAATATTTGTCTCCATAAAGCCATAGGTTTATCCTTTACTGGCAATGACACAACTACAGACCAGACAAAAGATCTGTTAACAGCTCTTTTGGTTTACAATAATTGCTGCTGCAGCTTGCTTCAGATTAGTGCAGTCTTTATCAGAAAGCAGCTTGTTAACAAATGTGCTCAGCACATAATTTAGCAGAAAAGTTTAACTTGCACTGTGAGGGTATGTGCACTTAATTCCTAAAATGTTCCTGATTTCTGCATGTCACGTCAAATGTGACAGCAATGGGTTTATGATCCCATTACAGTATTTTGCTGATGCTGTTTCTGTCTGTTTTCCTAAGTTATGCCTGAACTGATTTGTTCCTTTGCTATCACTAAAAGTGTTACACTGCAACAGCTGGGGGAGAAAATGTCTTTAACCCAGAGTGAAGTTAGTGGTTCACTTTACAGGGAACATGCTCCGAGTTCTTTGACTGGAAAAGTAAACCAGCTAGAAGTCATCCTCCGGCAACTGCAAACTGACCTCAGGAAGGTGAGAGATCATTAGTGATATTATTACTCTCCAGTTTTAACAGTTAGATTTTTATGCAGAGCTCATCAAGGGCTTGAAAAAAGTACATCAGACTAGATAGTGCAATTAACACATGGTAAAGCCCAGTGGTTGATAGAACACTGCACCTTGGTGCAGGAGGTCCTGTGGGAATGGTTATGTGAACAAGCTGGCCCAAGGCTCACTAGTTTATGGGTGTGTTTACTCCAAAATAACTGTCCTACATATAGTCATACCCCAGAAAGAATGAGGCACTACATTTATGGTACCTTGGATTTATTGAAGGATAGGGGTATGGACCCAAGCACTATTGCTAATTAGTTAACACTCCAGATTTGTTATCCATGTTGCCTCGTGGTATCTTGATCATGTAACAGTGACTTGCTCTGTGTCTCATTTGCTGTCTAATTCCTGAGCTGGAGATGACGCCAGGACAGGTAGAGATGAGGCTGCTTTTGGTAAGAAAATAGTCAAGTAAGGCAAAATTTTTGAAATTAGGTATTTTTCTTCCTTAATGTCTGCCTGAAATCAGGTTCTTATCACTTGGCCCTTCACATATGATTTGCAATAGCTTGATATTTTTTTTTTTTTTTATTAAATGGAGTAAACTCCTATAATTTTTGTATTAAAGTAGCATCTAGTTTTCTTTTTAGCTTGTAATATTTTCTCAGAATGAATGAGGTAGTTGAAGCATATTTAGGGAATTAACTCACAGTCTTCATCAGAATGGATTAGGGAGCTGAACAAAATACAGCTGTATGACTGGCACAGAAATATTAGCAACAAAAATACTGTCATCTTGACTACTCAACTTTTGTCTTTGTTAACCAGGAAAAGCAGGACAAGGCAGTTCTCCAAGCAGAGGTGCAGCATCTGAGACAAGATAACATGAGACTTCAGGAGGAGTCTCAAACAGCAGCTGCTCAACTGAGGAAATTTACAGAATGGTTTTTCAGTACAATAGACAAAAAATCCTAATGACTGAGCCCCTGGAAAATACTTATTTGAACAATGTAACAGCTGTATTTTTTTGAATTAGCAGGGTAATAATTTCACTGTGTTCACAATCCATTTTAGGTGTCTCTGCTACATTCTCTGTCCAGCTTTATTCATTTGAAAAGGAGAGAGAACTGTGGTAATCCATCTTTAAATTCATATGAAGAAAGCAGAGAATAGCAGATATTTGTTTGTGTGCAGATGAATGTAAAAAATCCTTAGTGTCATTTTAGACATTTTTAGAAGATGCTCTGGCTGGGGCTTGCCTGAAGAGGAATATTTGGCGTTTTAGTTCCTGCATTTCAGGTGCGCTGGTGAAGATGTTAAAGCAATTTACATTAGCTTGGGCTTCAGTATTGTAAGATAAAAAGAATAACCAGACATATACTTTAATGTTTAAAAGGTGCTCTATTTTTTTGTATGTACAGTAGTTTTATTTCCACAGTCCACATTGTCATAGCAATAAGAATGGAGGTATAGTGAATAGTCACAAAGCTGTGTTTATAAAATGTTAGCACTGATGTGTTTAACACTAGTTTGGATGCAGATACATTAGAGATTATTTATTTGCAGGAACAAATGGTGCCTGAATATAAACAGTGTTCTGATTTTCTAAAAATACACATGCCTTGTAAATGGCTCACTGGGGTTAGCCCACTCCCAACTTCAGTTACTTTTGTATAGTTGGTGTTCAGCTAAACAGTTATACTGCTTCATCATGTATGGTGTGAGCCACCCAATCAATTGTACAATGCCAAATTTGTTTATCTTTGTACAGAAGCTTTGATCAAGTGTCTTGTATTTAACACTTTTATTTAAGCTTATTTAACCTTAAATTGTTGTTTTTATAAAGTTTGTTTTATCTGCACTATGGTGAGGTCAGTTGGTTGCAAGTGGTAATATTTTAGCTTGCCAAGACTGTACTGAGGAGTTCTAGAAAATTCTAACAATTGGATGCTGCTAGTACACAATTGATTTGTTTGTATGCTTTAACATTTTTAACTGTTTAATTTGAAATGAACATACATCCAGCTTTTTTAATAAATGTTAAAAATCTAAACCTGAATTATTTTATGTTGTGTTATCTGTAATCAGTGTCATCAGCAAGAGCTCAAGTTTCGGTTCAGCCCACTTTCCAGGTTCTCTGCCCAAAGATAGTCCAACCCCACAGAGCTCTCATGATCCCTTGTTACCAATGAGGGACTATCAACATTATCATAGTTAATTTCTTTGATGTGTCCTGTCCCATAACTGAGAAGGTAGCCTCATGGGTCAAGGAAAGAACTTGTTTTGGCTGTTCATATGCATTGATTAGTGACCTAGAAGGAAAAATATGCTTTATCCAAAAATAAGTCCCAAAGGAAGTTTTCAAAAGGAGTCTAGTTTTCTCATATTATTTTAAATTAGTTGTAGCAGCATCGCCATCTCCTTGTGCCTGCAAGTAAGGGTTTGATTGCAGTGTTTGTGTATGTGGTATGTTTTGTGTATAGTACTAATCTTAAAGTTTACACCAAAAAAGTACAGTTTTGCAAAATTAAATGAAGCTAATGAGCACATTTGGGTTATCCTTTTGAGAGGGGAAAAAAAATAGTTGAAGTTGATGGTTGTATCCCAGTTTCCTTTCAGCAGCTGAATGCATTCATGCAAACCTACAGAAAATTGTTGAATAATTAAATATATTCAGCTGATGCAAGTAAAATTCTGTGTCCGTTGTTAGCGCACATTGGCTAAGAAATGTTTTTTAAGTTGAAGGAATGCTATAGTAATTATTCAGAATGACTGCTCTTAGGAAAGGCTTGGGTATCCTTTTATTCAAATGAAGAAGACTATTTTGTCTTTGTATTTTTTGTCAAAAACTCTGACTTTTACATACAATACAATATGCATTGAGATGTATTAACAAAGTAATGAAACACGGCAGTCATCCGTTACACTAGATTCTGATTTAAGCACCTTAAAGAAATCATTAGCAAACCCATCTGGCTGGAGACCTTGCCAAATAACAGTGCTGAACAACCTGGGCAATTTGTCTGTGAAGGTGTTTCTGTGAGGATTGGTTTGTGCACCTTGAAAGCCCTGCTGGTTAACTGAAAGGCACTTGAGAATGAGCATGTTCTGAAGGGATGCTATTAGGTTTGGATAAGAGTTTATAGCCCAATAGTCATTTTAGCTCTTTGTCTCTCAGTTATTGAAAGCGAGCAATAGAACAAAAACAAGTTATTGAAAATATTTCATTTCCAAAAGTGACAGAAAACTTGTATATAAATCTTATTCCCTTCTCTGACAAAGAGAGGGAATGTCAGAGACACGTGACTATTCCTTAAGTAACTTTCACTATGGGAGTAAGTTTTTGCTATTGTTTTAGTTTTGTTACTGTTATTGTTTTAATGACATGCGAATACAATATTTATCAGCAACCGTAATACAGCCTTGGCATTGGTAAAGGGAATTTAATTGAACATTTTAATTAACTGGGTTTTAAGAACAGTCCTTTCAGTGATGTTTTGCTAACAAAAACACTTGTTTGAGACATGTGGAGGCAAAGGCTTTCTACATAAGCAACTAGTGTGGAGCCCTAGGAAAATTTAGAGTGTTGCTAACCCAGGTTTTAGGAGTGGGAGGAGATCTTTTGGGCTCTTTCACATCCATGACTGGACACCTTCTAGGAGCTGAAATCATACGTTAGGTGAGCTCTGACTTAGCTTCATCTGGAAGCTCTGTGCTCTGACACCAAGCCACATGAACCAAAGCATAGTAAGTGGGGATGACTGGGAAATTTATTTCAAAGATGTGTTTTCGATCTGAATTAAAACACTAATGTGGAAGTGTTTCCAATGTCTACAAAGTCCACTGTGAAATACTGACTTGCAGAATTCAAATGTGAGGCAACAGGTGTTTGCTTCTGTAAGAGGGACAAATACAAACCATGACAAATTAGAAAATTCTTGAGAGTCACACCCTATTTTATATGTAGATCTTTATGAAATGGATACTTATGGAGACATTTGTCTGAATGTGAACTTTATTTAATGTGTAGTTTCTTCTGAGACTACTATTACAAACATGAGGAATAATTTTTGGTATTTTTTCTGTTTCTGAGAGCATAGTCATACTGGTGTCTTAGGTACATGATAGCTTTATTGAGAAGCTGTCTACATTCTCTGTATTATTTAATATAAATTCTCAAAGTAATTTTTTTTTTTGGTGCCTAAAATGCAGTTCTGTGGAAAAAATGTTTAAAATATTTGTAATACAAACTAGCTTACTGTAGAGCAGTTGCTTAGGAAAACAGTTTTCAGTCTGGAAAAAAAAAAAGAGAACTGCTGTGTGCATTATGTTGTTGCAGCATTTCTTGAGCTCTCTGTGCTGACAGCATCTAATGTATAAGAAGGGCAGTGAAACTCAGGAACTGGGCAGTGAAACTCAGGAACTGGTGGTGTACAATTTGAAAACTGTCAGAATCATTAATTATTGCCAAACCAAGTTTTTCTTCTTTTCTACAGAAAAGACTAGAAGAAAAATAATGTGTTTCAGCTCAAAAGTGAACAAAAGCTGGCTTCTGTGTGTTTGGAAGCAGACTGGGCAAACTGAGGGGAAAGGTATACTTGAGTAATACTAGAAATAAATTTGCCAGGAACATAAATTGTAGTCTCAGCTCTTCATGCACACAGGTTGTGTTTTTTCATTCAATTCCATGCACATCCTTTGTTTCACTCCATCCCCACGTTCACTTGCTTTTTTTGTCTGTGTGGCTTTACAAGAAGCTATAGAGAGGCAGGGCCTAAACATTTTGCAGTCCTTGCTCCTGCACAGTTCTCCACAGCAGCTGCAGAACAGAAAGCAAGGTGGGTACAGTTCCATCCAGCCTTGCCAATGTCCATCTGTGCTAGTTTCTCTGAGCGCACTCGCTGCCTTACCACGGTACTAACTTTCTGAATCAGTTTTTGAGTCGTGGGTAAATCAGCCAGGAAAGAATGGGCATTTCCATTCCACAGTATCTAGCAGTTTTCCAAAACCTTCACAATGAAGCAATTAAAAGGAAGAGCACAGAGAGGACATTTTCTTAGGTTTTATTTTGATTCTCCTTCCAGATAGACATCACTGCTGGCTGTTGCACCAGCTTAAGGGGGCGCAGCATAACCAGAGAATGGAATGAACAGGCCAAACTGTTCATACCCTTCCGTTTTAGAAATCATTTGGTGGCTTCAAATTCCAGTGTTGAAATCCTGTTTATTTTATTGAATTCTCTAGGGAAAAAGTTTTATGTCCTTTGTTCCATTTTTTTTTAAACGTTTTTCCTCCCCTAACCACTGATATTTAAAAGCTTCTTTGCTATATAGCATCACAGAATTAATCTAGTAGTAGTCATATTGACCTTGTCCCTATTGGAACAAACTGAGGCTGACAGATTAGTGATACAAAGGTGTTAGTCTTGCAGAAGGGCCATAAATCTATTTAATGTTTTTCTGTGTTCCTGCTATACAATAGCAAATCATTAAATCTCAGAAGCTGAAGAACAGCAGATGGGCATGTTCTGACCAACGTCATTTTTAAAAAAATCAAAATAAATTATTAAATATGCTGTTGATACCAGTTCAGGTATCCTTGTGTCTAGACATCAGCTGGGGGTGTTTAAAATAAATCTGAGGAGAGATGGTAGGAATTGAGGAGACAAAACCATGCCACATCATAAAATGGGACATGCAAAGTACACCAGTAGTAATCAAGGACAATGTATGAGTTGTGCTTTTATTGATGACAGATGACTCTGACCGAAGACCAGAACTTCAATAAAATGGGAAATTTTTATATGATTTATCTTTTGTAAATCTACAGTTTGGAACCTAGAAAGCAATTGTGAGAGTACCTCAGGAAAATCTTTTGTCATGAGTTAGCCCTGACCAGAAGTCTGGGAGACCTGTAGTACTTTGGTAGTTATGACTTAATGTCTAAGCAGTGGGCTTGGTTATACTGAACCCAAATTTAGAGTTTTGGAAGCTCTCGCCTTTTTGTCTTTCATTCCTATTTTGAAACTGATGAAAGTATGTGACTATGTGAGTGACCAAAGCTGTTAATAAAATAAATAAGTGACCCTAGAGTTGTCCAGTAGTAAATACTAGTATAGTCATCTGAGGTTCTGTTACCACTAACACTCTAGTCTCTCTTTCACCCCAGGCATGACTTTGATAGATATTTTCTGAAGGATTTTTTTGTGGAAACCTGAGATATCTACATTCTCATCAGTGCTGTTTCTCCCTCTTCATAGTTCTTTTATTCAAGATGATGGATGTTTCTTTCACAAACCCAGGGCATAATGTTTCTTTTCAGCAAGAAACATTTCTCTCGTGTGTAAGAGCAGTGCTCCAGGAAGTATATTCTAGTACTAGTGCAACTTAAAATTGTTTGTGCTTAAGGTTGATTATCTATCTTCTGCCACGCAGCTCCCAGGTTCTTGGTCTTCCTTTCCTTTGC